TACCCTCCTGTCTGTGGAGTGGAAGTGGTTACACTTTTTAAAGTTGCAATTCAGCATAATAAATGCTCTAATTTGTGCTGTTGGGCCTTAAAAGGAAGCAGGAGAATTATCTGCAGCAGCATGGTAAGGACCCAAGACCCCAAACTGGTAAGAATGAGCCACAGTGTGATTGAAATGGGACTGGAGCTGGGACACTCAAGAGACGCAAATGCCCAGCATGTGTGGGAAGACATCCTGCCCCACTCAGGGGCTTGACAATGTTCAAAAATATTTGCCCATTAGGTAAAAAAAAAGTCTTCAAAAACGATAACCGGCACCTCTATGCACTATTTGCACAAGGGCAGGTGGACGATATTTGCTTCAACGTGCATTGCTCTGCCTTTGGTGGGAGGCCGTGGGTCCCCCGTGTTCACCCCCCCGCCTGGAAGGCATCACCCCCACTGCCATGGGATCACAGTCTCCTTAGGAGATGGGGACTCGGCACGCTCCACTGCCATCAGACTGGGCCAGGTGATGTGCGCTGGCCGAGGTCACGAGAGGGACGTGAGTGACCCCTGCCTGGAGGTTGTGAGAGCCGCCATACTTCTCCACCCCCCACCCCTCCCTCTGCCACTAGCACAGCTCTGCATTGTCACACAGCCTAGTGCTCTGCACCTTCATAAACGTGTTCACGTGGCGGTGATCACAGTGCCCACTCCTCTTCCCCTGAGGTCTTCACTGGCCTTTGTTTCCCATCTGTCCTTGTCAGCGGTAAATGGCCTCTCATCCACCCTGCCCGCTCTGTGGCCCTCCGCATGGGGGTCACTGGGCCTTCATCAGCCATCCTGCTAATCAGTAGCCCAGGAACCTTTTGTTTACTTCTTGCACTGGCTGTCACATGAACGTGCCACTCCCTGCGCCTGCAGGTCCCCCTGAGTCTGTTCCCGCTGCAGACCTGTGAGGCCCCAGCACAGGGAGCCTTCAGATCTCACAGGAGTGCTCAGCTCTGCTCCAAAGTCTCTGTTCCACCCACTCCTGCACACTGGGCCTCATCTTCCTGCAGCTGTCAGCCTCGATACCAAGACGATACGAAGTATGTCGCCTTGAGACACGGTGTATTATGCTACAGGTGGCTTACTTTTTCTTTACATTTTCAAGAATACCGGGTCGCCGTGTTGCACAACAGGTCTCTTCAACTCTTCCCTCCTAGCTGAGATTTTCACCCTCTGGCCAGTGGCTCCCCAACATTCCCCCTTCCCCACAGGCCCTGGTAATCACCTCTTGCTCTCCATCTCTCAGTTCTAGGGTCTTATATTCTGTAAGTGAAATGATGCAACATGGGGCTTTCTGCACCTGACTCACATCACATGTCATCACATCCTCCAATTTCATCCATGGTCTCACAAAGAACAGACTTTCCTTCTTTTGAAGGCTGAATAGTGTCCCATTGTGTGTCCACCACATGGTGTTAATCCATCCATCCACTGGTGGACACGGGCTGTTTCCCTGTCTTGGCTGTTGTGGGTAATGCTGCAATGAACGAGGGGTGCAGCTGTCTCTTTAAAACTGATTCATTTTCTTTGGATCTGTACCCAGGAATGAGAGGGCTGGATCATATGGTGGCTCTATTTTAAATTTGTTGGGGAGCCTAACAGCTGTACTCACTGACGTTCCCGCCAGCGTGAGCAAGGCCCCCTTCTTCCACGTTCTCTCCAACACCTATCCCTCGTCTCTTGATAAAAGCCATTCTACCAGGTGTGAGGTGAAGCCAAGTGTGGTTTTGAGGTGCACGTCCATGATTCATGGCGTCGAGCAGGTTTCCAAGTGCTCTGGGCCATGTGTATATCTCCTTTCAAGAAATGTCTATTCAGGTCCTTTGCCGTTTTCTAACAGGGTTGTCTTCCTAAAATGGAGTTGTCTGATTTCTCACCCATTCTGCACAGGACCCTCGTCAGATGTGTGCTTTCCAGTGTTTTGTCCCCTCTGCGTGCCTCTCCCTGTTGGTGACTCCCAGGCTCTGGCTGTGGGAGCTGCTGCAGGATGCAATCCCACTCTCCATTTCTGCTTCTGTCACCCGTGCTTTTATGTTCATGTCAAACCTGGCCGCCCAGCCCCGTGTCAGGCGGTGCGCCCCTGTGCTTTCTCTACAGCTCTACAGAGGTCAGAGAAAGATGGCACAGGTGATCGCAAATCTATCCCTTACGTTTTATTTTTAAAAAATAAATAAATAAATAACTAGGGCAAGTACAGGTCAAGATTAATGTTTGGTAAAGTTTACGGATGGGCATGAGACACTTTTATGTTATTTTTTCTCTGTGTTAAAATATCTGCTTATGTGTAACTATGACCACCTGTATGCAGATAAACATTTCAGAACATTCCAGAAACACTGAGGCTGCTTCTGGAAGAGCAATGAGGTGGGCCTTCCACCTGTCATTTATCCCTTTTTTCAGTATTTGAATTTTGGGGAAATGTATTAAGTTTGTGAATCAGAAAGTGAGCAGGGACTTACCCAAGCCCAGAAACTTCCTTACTGTGTGGATGAGACAGAAGACTTAAAGCCATAAACCTGTGTTTCTCGTCTGTAAATCAGGTTAGAAACATCTACTTTGCAAAACTGTTGTGAAGATTGGGCTAGAAATCATTCGTATGAAACATCTAGCAATGGGCTTTGACATGGGAGGCACTAAATAAATAATAGCTGTTTACATTATTAATAAGAGCACAGGATATGCTCTGTTTGCAAATTTACTCACCCTGAAATGTGCAGAGGAAATAGATGTAGGCTCTTTATTTCTCCATAACTGGTCTGCTCGTCCATTGTTGGCTCCCCATGGGGAAAGGGATCCTCCTGCTGAAGAACTTAGTTTGCCTCAATAATTTAAACCCACTGTTAGCACTTGACCCCCTTCAGTGATCGCCATCTCAGAAGCTCAGCCATCGTCTCTCCTAGCTAGTGGGGCTGGAATCAGCCAGTTAAAAAACAGGATGCCCAATTACTTTTGGATTTTAGATAAACAACAAATATTTTTAGAAATATGTCCTAAATACTGCAAGGACATATTAATACAAAGAAAATATTTGTTATTTACCAGAGAGCCATGTGTAGTCAGGCACCCTGCATTTTACCTGGCCACCCACCCTGCTGCTGGGTGAATGGGGAGGGGCCCAGTGTAGGGAAAGGCCCCTGACCCCCTAGACTCTGAAGTGCACTGAATGGGGTCTGCGTCCAGTTCCTGGGCAATCAGGCATCTGCTGTGATGTCCAGAGCTGGTATGGCCACAGTCCATGTCTCTCAGCAGTTGGGACCTGCCCGTCAGTGTGCCCCAGCCTGACCTACCCCACCTTGCCTGTCGATGTGAAGGACGCTTTGCTTTTCCATAGCGTCCTCTCCAGGTCTGGACTAGGAGGTCCACTCTTAGCCTCTGCAGGAGGCCTCTAAGTCACAGAGGCCACAGCAGACCCATGGCTCTCAGCTCCGGCGTGTGGCCTTAGAAGTATGGGGGGGCTCCCAGAACTCCAGCCAATTCTCTACCCAAACATCACGAGTTCTGCTGAGCCCCCGGGAGCTCCAAGCACCCAGAGCCCCAGCCTGAAGCCGCACGCAGGCAGCCCAGTCTCCTCCTGCCCTCAGCCCCCTCCCTCCCCAGCCAGAGGGCAGCCTTCCCTGCCTCCCGCGTGCTCTGTGTGGCCCACTCAGCATCATCCAGCCACCTTCCAGGAGGCTAAAAGCCACAGCAGTGAACAGGACGAGTCCCTGACAGCTGTGGAGCCCGGGTCCTGGCACTGTCAGGGGGAAGGGCGGTGAACAGCAGTGCGACAGTCAGACTTCTAGGCTACCCTGTGACAGCGTGTGGCATCAAGCTCCAGGAAGGGAAGGGGAGTGAGCCAGGGCCGAGGCTGGCCACGTCCTGGCTGCCGCTCTGGACGGGGTGTCAGAGAGGGCTGTAGATCAGAGAGTGACAGGCTGTGCCAGTGTGGGGGGCGGGGCTCGTCAGGCCACAGGACAGTCAGCCCCATGGGGACCAGCGGGCATAGCTGGCCCTGCAAGAGGAGGAAAGGGCGGAGGAGAGTGGCAGAGGGGGTTAGAAAGGGCACCTGGCCTGCTGTCTGTGTGTGACAAAACTTCAGAAACCCCCCTCTTTTTCTCTGGACTCTCCTTTTGCTGAAGAGAATACAGAAATCACCTGCAGAGGAAGGTGCCCAGGGGCCACCATGTCCTGAACTGGCCTTTCTGCTTCCCCCAAGAGTGCGACAGACCTGGAGCTGGGAAGCTGCAAATGAAAGGGATCAAGGGGCCATCGAAGCGTGACACTGTCCCTGCAGCCTGCACCCAGCACCTCTGTGCACAGTGCCCGAGGGGCCCAGGGCCTGGAGCAGCTGCCTCCGGGGTCCAGCAGAGACAGACACCTTCTTCAGAAGGTCTTGAGAATGTGTGAGGACTCCAGGAAGCCACCACAGCGCTCTGTGCCTGGATAGCATGAATGAGGTCACACGTACAAAAACCCGTCAAGATGCTGCATGAAATGTCATGACAACAATCTAAACATTTACACAGATGCTCCTGGATGCACGATGAGATCATGTCCCTGTAAACTAATCCTAATTTAGAAATCTTAAAAGTGCAGAATTCATCGACTACCCCTCACCTAGCACCCATCCTAGCCCAGCACCTTGGTACTCTGCAGACTCTCCCCTTGTGACCACAGGAGCGATGAGGGGGCTCTGGCTCCGTACCACCTCCCAGCATCGCGAGGGAGGACCATGAGGTACACTGCAGCACTGGAAGAGATCCAGATTCAAAGCGTAACTCCTGCCGCATGCTTGTGGCTCTGCACCACCATAAATTGAAAACCTTCAGTAGAGCCACACGGGCCTTCTGCGGCCACTGCTGCGCGGAGCTGGGCTCTCCAGACTCGATAGTCTGCACATAGTAGGGAACGTCTGCTTGCTCCCCGTGCTCAGCTGAACTAATGATTTCTGTTCTGTCTCTCTCTGGCTCCCCGCCCTTCCCCATGCAGGTCCTGGAGTGCCCACTGTGACCGTGCACAACGCTACAGACAGGAAAAGTAAGTGCCTGTGTCTTAACGTCTCCCTGAGATTCTGCAGAAAGGAAGCAAGAAAGCCAGAGAGTCCAACCCCCAGTGTTCTCACCAGAGACAGCCCAGCCAGGTCCCGAAGTTCAGAACAGACCTTGCTGATCCAATATGATGAAGGTGGAGTTGACCCTAGGAGGGCTGGGCCTGGAGGTCTGAGAGAGTCAGGAGGGAGGCCAAGGCTGCATGGATTTGAACAGCCAGCCTCCAGGGACTTCTGACCGTCCTCCCCTGAGGCCCTGCCCTTGTGGGTGCCTGGAGGCATGCCTGTCCTTGTGGGACTCTTGCTGAGGATGGGCCAAGGACTCAGACCTCAGATGGCAAAGGGTGATCGGACCTCAGGGGCGTGAGGCTCAGGCTGAACTGACTCAGCAGGGCACTTGCTAAAACTGGGCGGTGCAGGCTACTGGCAGGGCAGAGGCCAAGGTCAAGGTCCATGGAGAGGACTCAGAGGAGCATCAGGAGTACCACCAAGCAGGGTGTCTCTGCCAATTCATGGAGCTTCTAGGGTCTGGGAGGAGCTCCTGGCAGTAGAGGAAACTGGCCCTGTCCTGCTCTTGACCCCACTTTTCCTGACCCCAAGAAGGCCCTGCCTTTCTCCCCACCTTCCTCCTTCCCACGGGGCCCTCAGACGATACCCAGCAGAAAGTCAGGCCAATAGCCAGTTTCTGGTTAAAACATCCAAAAGTGAGTAAAAGATGTGGGTAAAGAGAGCACTTAGAAAGCCATCTCAGAGAGGGTGACAATCTGCCAAGTCAGTAAATAACCTTGAGAAATTCAAGCATCCATGATGATAATACTGGAAATAAATTAATAGGTTATGATGCCATTTAGATGAAACAGAAAGTCAAAAGGGGCATCAGGATGGAAGGGAGCAAGTGGAAGAAGGTTCTGCAAGGCCTTTCTCAGCCCAGAGGGCGTGGGCTTGGGGTGAAGGTGCACCTGCTTCCAGGCCTTTCCTCCAGCCTTCTGGAGGACACTCGGGGGGCCTGGGAGGTTTGGGGATCTGGGACATACCTCTAAGGGGTCGATGTCCCCAGAAGGACTCCAGAGGGATTTTCTGGGCTTCCGCACCCAGCCCACCTTCTCCCTCTGGTGGTGCAGGGCAGAGCCAGGGGAGCCCTCCCGGAGGCTGGCTGCAGAGTGGGACTGCAGCTGCACCCCAAAACCTGTCATCTGTGGCTCCACCAGACACGCCCCTGTGACAGTGCTCTTAAAAATGCTCATTTGTAGATCTAGCTGTGATTTTCACTTTAAAAATCCAATCGTCGTCCACAGTGCCCGCTGTGCATCTTGTCTCAGAATGCGCGCGCCGTGCATTTTCAATATCTGTTAGTCATTTCCTGACATTCTGTGGGTCTTTTCCTTTCTTAACAATTGATGGTCTGGTGAGATTTGAGCAGGGTGGTGGGTACCCCAACATACCTACCTTGCAGTTTCCTAGCTTTGCGGGACGCTACCCTGGGACCAGGGAGGACACGGAACCCTATGAACTGATTTGTAACCCCCTGTGGCCCATTAATCATGTCAACTTTAAATGTTCCTTCTAAAACCTGTGGCCTGGTAAAAGACACCCACACTCTCTAGGCTTTGGAACCCATGGCATCGCTCCTCCTGCAAGGGCCACTCACTGAAATGCTTTTACCTACTTCTTTCAGGGGCGGGGGGATCCTCTTATCAATGTACGCAGGTCAAGGGTTGCCATAGCACCTACTTTTTGAGGCGGTATTTTGACTTTTGAGCCACTTTCCAGCCAGCTGTGATTACTCCTTCAGGAGTCCTGAAGCCCAGGGAGCGTATCTGGGGAGTGGCCCTGGGGGTCAAGCCAGCCTAGTTTCCAAGGTCAGGTGTGAATGACAGTGAAGCCGACCTGTACCTGGGATATGTGTTGCCCTCACTTAGAAGCATTTATTTATTTCGTTTATATAAGTAAAGTTATATGTGCAGGGTGGGGTGCAGTGCTCTGGAAGGGGGTTCACGTAAAAACTTACCAGCTGCCCAGCGAGGGCAGTATAGGAATGCTCTTGAAATCCTTGTACATTTTATTAACCGGGAAACCAAACAATGGCTCCTTTTCACTTGTTGGGCTGCCGGGCTGCATGAACCAGTCCATCCAACCAGTACCCTCAGAAGAGAGCCTGGCTCTCAGCGGAGTTCCACAGTGGCACTCCATAAATAGAGAGACATCTTCACGGAGCAGTGACTGTATGCAGTTGAGCTGTCACTTTTACGACTGTGACTCTCGGAGGCAGAGAAAGGACCTGATGGGATGAGAAGTAAGAAGCCCTGTGTGCACAGACAAGGTTGGTGGGACACGCCAGCCTTCGTTCTTCTTGGTTTCGCAGACAGAAGAGAAAGAAGAATAGAATTCCCTCCAAACTTAACAGTGGCACAGCTGGGCTCTAAACCTGTTGCCAGCTCTGCGGTGCCTTCATGCTGCCCTTGGCCTCCTCCGTGCCGGGGCGAATTCAGGCTCCTCAAGGATCAGCCCCAGAGTGATCAGGTGTGGCTGCCCTGGTGGCAGCATCTCCCTCAGGAGGAGAATAGGGGCTCAGTCTCCACCACATCAGACTCTGCAGTTTAGGGCCAGGAAGACACCCCAGCACCCGCTCTTCCCACCTTGTGCAGTAGCTGAGCCCCACCCTCCGCCTTCCTCCTGCAGGCTGGCACAGTGCAGCTGCAAGAAGGCTTCTCATAAGACACAAACACCCCTCTGGTGCTGAGCATTGCACTTGGCAGTGTCACCAGGAGACCCAGAACAGCCATGGCTTATCGGCTTATCTTCTGAGTGATACTCAGAGGCTGTGGGGCCCTGGGCAGTTGCCGGCGCATGTGTGGCTGGCAGCCCTCATCCAAAGGCTCCAGACTGGATGGGGGCCAAGGGTAAGGACAGGTGGGAGCTTCTGTGCCGCCATCGTCCCGTTAGGCTGACCTCCTGCAGTGCCCCAGGGCTTCCCGCCTCATCCTATTGCCCACAGCTTGGTATGGGCCAGGCCTGTCTGCAGAGAATGCTGGGCAGCATCTCTTACCTGGGTCCCTTCCATCTCAGGATTTTTTGCTAAGTGAGAGCAGCCACAGGAATCGCTGCTGCCATACCAGCAGCCTATGGTGCAAGGTCCCCAGGGGGCTGTCACAGAGTGCCACACACTGGGCATCATAAACCACAGACGTTCATTGTCTCCAATCCTGGCCACTGGAGTCTGCCATCCTGGGCAGCAGGGCTGGTCCTTACTGAGCCTGGGGGGGACTGTTCCAGGCCCTCTCCCCTCTGGTGACTTTCTGGCAGTCTTTGGTGCTCCTTGGCTGGTCCTTGTCTGTCCTCAGTTTGCGCTTTCCCTTCACGTCCGTCCTGTGTCTCTGCCCAGCTTTCCTTACTGTAAGAGCGGTCACACTGGATCGGACCCTCCCTGGTGACCTCATCTTAACCTGATCGTCTGCAAGGCCCTGTTGGCAAGTCAGGGCACAGTCACAGGCTCCAGGAGCTGGGACTCCAACGTCGTTGGGGGGACACAATTCAACCCACGACTCGTGACAACACAGGGCTTCTACTCCACGCCCGCCACGGCCAGTTCCCACGCTGGGCTCTCCTGGACGAGCCTGGGTGCAAGCCTGCCTCCCTCCCTTTGTGTGGAAGTGTGGAGGTGGACTTCGTCACTTCCGCCAGAACCCCATCACACGGGTGCCCTGGACGCAGGAGAAGCTGCGCGCCCAGGAATAAGGACACCAGAGGCCCAGGGGTGGGGAGGAGAGGGAGGACAGAGAACAGCGGGGCCCTGGCCGCCTCGCCGGGCCTGAGGGGTGTGCCCAGAGTCTCCCCCGTTTGTCTGGCTCCCTGTGGTCTGAGGTTCTCTCCTGAGGCCAGGCAGGCTTTCTCCAAAAGGACCAGGAGGAGCAGACAGGAAGGTCCAGTGTGGCCCACGGAGAGGGACACACACTCAAGGAGGGCTCTCCAACTGAAGCTCGAGGGCCCGAGGGTGGAGCAGGAGGAAGCGGGGCTTCGAAGGCAGAGACGTGGTTCCTACACTGCGGAGTGTAGGGTCTGCTCCAGGCAGAAAAGCAAGAGACAAAGCGGCGCATGGCAAAGCGTCTCACCCCCACGGCCCTCCTTGCCCCTGTGATAAGCCACGGCGGGCGGGCGGGCGGGACAAGCTGAGCAGCTCCGCCTACGTACGGATGAGCAATGGAGGTCTGAGCGGCAAGACGGTGGGGACCCTGTTCCTCCCGGAACTCCAACTGCTCAAGGCGAGGAAGGAGAGAGAGTTGCAGAGAGGAGAGGAGCGAAGGAAGGAAGGAAGAGACAGCAAGAGGCCACCTCGCAGATGCTCCAGGGGCTGAGACTTTGAGAAGACCATTTCGGTGTTAGCTCCCGTCCCTCAGTTCCCCTCCACTGCAGGTGCAGGGCCGGTCCCAGTGCGGCCCTGGGAGATGGCGGGACCTGTAGGTGGTCACTGGAGCAGGACACTAACCCTGGGGCCCCAGGTTTGCCCCCCACTTCCTTCTGCCTCACCTCAGGATCCCCACCTGCAGGAGCAGACCTGGGGCCACCTGGAAGTGAGAACCCAGGGCTGCAGCCCCCGTGAAGCGCCAAACCCAGCACCCTGAGTTCCGGCCCCAGGTACTCTCTGGGTGAGGTGACTCCCATCTTGCCCAGCTGTGACGCCTGGTGGACAAATGCCCTGTTTTCATTTTGTCCGTCAAACTGGTCCCGGCGAGGAGGCCGGAGGCTGATGTGCTGGGCCCTGCTCTCAGCAGCAGCCTCTTATCTGTGGGGTGGCTGGGCTGCAGCAGGACCTCGTCACAGCCTCTGTGGCGGGTGAGGGGCCCACAGCGGGGTTGGCGTCCACCTCAGACGGGCCAGTGCTTCACAGACCAGCCGCGGGCCTCAGAGGTCAGGTCAGTCGCACTCCTTCATGACTGCAAAGCCACTGCAGGGACTCCAGGAGCAACGGGGAGGTGGACAGTGGGCAGCCAGC